GTTTTAAACTTTTTTCTAGGCATTGCTTCATACTTTAGTAAATTCTTGCTGTTCAGTAAATTGTGATTGGAACGATCATTGTTGTGCGTTCCTTTAAATCACTCTAAGCAAATACAGTTGAAAATTGACTTAAATCAAATTGCAGAATGTATCTAAATTGAATAAATAAATCAAAGCTAAAAGTACTCCAAAAATTTTGTCTTAAATTCAGTCAAATTTGTATTTAATGTAAGAAAACTTAAATTTATATTTACTTAACCACAAGTTAATCAACAATAATTAGATCAAACTTGAATATCTGTTAGAAGAACTCATCACAAACAAACATGAAAGCTTGCCAAATGCTTAAGTCATTTGCAATTACTTTTGGTGTCATTGAGAAGCTGTCAGAAAGAATATTTGAATAGAATTTTTTCCTAAACGGAATATGAAACAACGCTTTATTAACATAAAACTCTGTCTAAAAGCTGCAATCATTAATAATCATAACTGAGATCAAACAACTCAAACAGCTATTTTTCAATTAATATTGTTGTCAGGATAGAGACAGTAATAATTTTAAATAACTTATTATTAATTAAAATGTATATACAAAAGCATAATTTTGTTTTAAAATACACTTGTATCACTGAAATTTTCGACGGGAACTGAGCATTTTCTGATATTTCCCGATGAAACCCCATTCGGGCCAAATCAATCCAAGAATAAAACGAGTAGTAATGGAAGTAATAAAAGGTTGCATCCAGTAAAGTAATGTTCTATAAATGAAAAGATACTGTAACGGAGATGAAATTGCATGACGACGCTGAAGACGTACAAATATTGTTGTAGTTGGCAGTAATTTACTATAACATGCTGAGCCTAAAATAATGATAATAATAACTATTATTGTTATTTAAAAAAATTTTTGAATTGTAACTTTTCTATTTCGTTGCGTTTATTCAGAAATTAAGCAATAAAATGCATGTTAAAGCAATTTTGTACATATACGAAAATGTTTCACCGCGCATAAAATCACTTATAGCTTTTGAATTCTGCCATTCATAATTCACAAAATAATTTTTTTTAATATAACTGAAATAAAACATTTATAAATTATCAGTCATAAACAAATGTAAAAAGAATTATTAATATCAAAATATGTAAATAAGAGGTTTAATACAAAGAAATCGTACCTCGAAGTAAAAGCATTAACAATACTTCTATGGTAACCAAAGTACCAGAACGACCACAACCATCTAAGCACTGTATGATTGTTGGTGTTGGTGCAAGACGCGCTCTAAAAAATTTTCATTTATTTGAATCCTAATGTTAATAAAGATTTGCCCATTTTTAAGTTGCTAACATTTTACTTTGAATATTTCAACTGTCTAATTATCTAAAATGGCAAATTATTACTCTAAAAATATTATTTTAAGCATTATTACTTTCTGATAATTGTAGTTTTTATTGGCAAAAATTAAAAGACTGCTTTCATGGTCGTATTGCTTGCTTTTCTGATAATTCATTCTTACTAGAGATGAAATTTAATTATAAAATCTAACAGCGATTTGGACTGCAAAAATGAAATATATACAGTTGTGATATAGAAGTATTTATGACGAAGACAAGTGTGCTGATAAGATAAGTTTCATGACAAAGAGGTAAGATAAAAAGCGATTATTTTGTAAAATCAAAGTTTTATATGAAAATAGCTAATAAAAGTAAAAGGTATACACTTTATCTGATATTCAATAATGGACACCTTCGAAGTATACGAAATGGCCAGTGATAATCAGTGAAATCGTTCCAATCATACTGCCAGTGCTCAAATTCATGTATGTAATTATCTTTTCCATCCACACGACGAATTGTTAAATATGTAACATTGAAAAGCGGATCAGCGGTATAGTCAATTTTACAGTTGGATATAATAAAATTACCATATTGAACTTCATCATTTTCATATCTGAATAATATTTAAGCACCGTTTAGATTATAATATAATAAAATTGTACCTTAATTAGTAATCTTGCTTTTTTAATAAGCTAAGCAAATAAAAAACATAATTTTGAACAAACGCAATTTTCTCATAATACTTCAGTGTTAAGTTATAAATTAGTTCAATTTTTAATCAGGGTTAATATTATCGATCTGAATAGCACTCCTAAATTTGGGAACTAAAATTCTTTGAAAATTGTGAATAAAGCTTCAGTTTTGAGGATTTAACATGTATTTCTTAATACTTTATATATTATTTACTTTTTGTAGAACTAAACAATTCTGCTTATTTACTTAATTCTTTCTTCATTCTTATTTTTAAAGTTAAACTATTATCAAATCTTTTGCCGATTTTTCGATCAAACATAATATTACAACTAAATTTGAAGTATCATCAGAAAAAATTTGATACAGTAGTATAAGAAATTTACCTCGGCCAGTAATATGGACAAACGTTTGGAAGT